GCTGTTGCTGCTCCCTAGCGGTATGGGAAGGTACTACATGATTATTTTCTGGGCGAAAGACCGCACAGGCATAAAAATTGGATATTTTCCCGCGGCACACCTGACAATGTCGCGGCACACCGGTTGAAAAACACTGGTCTAGTGGAGTATACAGTGTAGGTCCGTGGCACCGTTTTTTGGAGGGGAACTGGTGAACTAGATTTCTTTGTAGCGCAGTTGGTCAGAAGAGTTTTCGGGCCCTGGCAGACGTACATAGGGACATTATTTCCTCCACCCTGTTGCACTTGTATGGTCACCATGAGATGGTGGTGCAGGGCACGTAGCCTAAAGGGAAGAAAAAGGAATTCTTGCAAAATAGAATGCACATGGAGGAAAATGATCAGGCGGCAGAGAAGGTCCTGGTGTTGAGTAGGGGCAGGAATCAAGAAAGGAGGACCCAGAGGTCCGTGGTGGGCCAAGAAAAAAGGAGGGGAAAATAAGACACAGCAGGTTCAGCTGTATTTTTGGGACCAAATGAGAAGAATAACAAGACTGAGAAACAATGAACACAGGTTCTTGCAAACTCAAAAATCATCCCACTCCCAGATGTGGGTGGCATCTTGGAACGGGGAGGACGAATTAGTTACTTCTTTTGCAAATAATTAGATAATACTGTAGTTACTGTACTCAGGTAATTAGTCTCCTGCCCCAGATTTGACTGATGTCTTCAAATTTATATTTCGCCGATCATTAATTTGAAAATAAACAAAGCATTTTTTGAACAGAGGTACTCCAATTGCTCGAAGATCTTTTTCAAATATCCAATCAAACCAACTACAAATGTTTCTGAAAGACACTAACACATTGTAATTCAAAGTAGTGACTCTTCTACATGCAAACCAATTACAGTCAAACCTCGGTTTTCGAACGTCTCTGTTCTCGACCAAATCGGTTTTTGACCAAAAATTTTGAGTTTTTTATGCCTCAGATGACGACCGAATTTCGGTTCTCGAACAAACTGAGCGCACTTGAATGTGTCACTTGACTCCTCTCGCCTTCCTTACATGTGGAAGTGACGCTTCCTCGGGTAGATGAGGAAGTGACGCTTCCTCGTTTAGCGTTCCATGGTGAACAGATGTGTTCAATAAAGATTTTTTTTAAAAGAGCGTGGTTTCGGTTTTCGAACAAATAGGTTTTCGAACAGCCTTATGGAACGGATTATGGTCGAAAACCGAGGTATGACTGTAATCTAGATTCTACGTAATAGGCACACCTGATTCTAGGTTCTAGAATCAGGGGTGCCCATTACGTCGATCACGATCGACGGGTAGTTCGTGGACTGGTCCCAAGTCGATCACGAGGGGTGTATAGTAAATAAATAAATAAATAAACATTTGTGTGTTTCTGTGCATGTTAATAATATATTTTTTGTGTTAATGCATACTGCATCCTATCAGTCTCACTTTCACAAAAAATATTTAAAAAATAAAATAAAGCAGGTCACTTTTTACTTACGGTGGCGCGTGATCTGCATCACCGGAAGTTGTTAGTGCTCAGCAGTCTGCAATTGCGGCTTGCGGTCAGAGCTGTTGCTATATAGGTTTAATTATAATAATAATAATCATAATTTTCGGTACACATGAGCTGCGACAGTTAACAGGCTACAAAACTGCGTCGTATGCTTCCGCGTCAGGTCTCCCACCAAGATAGGCAGTGATTTCCTTTTAACAAGCTCATAAAGTGTCTACTGCAGGGGTCCCCAACCGCCAGTCCGCGGACCGTTACCGGACTGACGGCGGCCTTAAAAGTACGTTCGAGACAACAACTCTGCCGGTGTTCCGGATTCAAGTTATGGCTGAATTCTCTGAGATCGCCACAATAGCACCGTTGCTATTTCCGACATGCTACCTGTGTGAGGCAGGGGATTTGTGCAGCAGCGGCGACTAAAACAAAATTACGAAGTAGACTTGACATAAAGCACACACTTCAGGTGTCATTGTCTCCTATTACCCCGAGATGGGACCGCCCGGTTGCAGAAAATCAAGCTCGGGGCTCGCACTGATTCAGCATTGTGGTGAGTTGACATTTTCATGCACTTTGAATTTGCGTTGTATCGTATTTTGAAGTCATTAAACATTACCATAGCGATCAACGTGTTGCACCCAGATTAGGCGCTCCTTGTGTTTATTATTATCTCTTGAAAACACACAGTGTTCATGCAGCTCTTACCATATTATTTTGTAGTATTAATCCGCCACACCTTAAATGCCGGTCCGTGAAAATATTGTCTGACATAAACCGGTCCGTGGGGCAAAAAAGGTTGGGGACCCCTGGTCTACTGTACATCTTAGGGGCCGTTATGGC